ACACAATCGATAACCTTCGAAATCTAACGTTGCGATATAATTTCGAAGGTTTTCGAATTAATATAATTACTGATGAACTACTACTGTTTGGGAAAAAGTACAGAATTTAAACTACTAGATACACCTCCAGAGGGTGAGCGTGCATACAAAATAAATCCCTCGTGTAAAGCCGGCATAAACAATACTGCAGTAGCGGAAGGTTCTGGATCCACAAAAAAGCAGCCCATCGCGAAGAGATTATATTCAGGAAAGGGCAAAAAGTACTTGAAGGACCTCAACAAAAGAAGAAAAAGAAAGCACCCCTTATACAGCAACCATATATAATGCAAAATGCCCTGACATATTCCATTGTCTCAGACCTATTGACAGCAAAGGCTAATATCACTCTAGGGCAACTTATGGCAATGCCACCCTACCGAACAGAAAAACGGAAAGCCCTGGTACCAAAACGTGCAAAGGTAGCCAAAATAGTCAACCATATGAAGGTGAAAGGGAACATACCTATGATGTGTAAAGCCCAGGTTGCCGGATGGAGGATCGAAGTAATATTAGATAATGGTTCATCTATTAGTGTTGTTTCGAAAAATTTCATGAAATCACTAGGGTGAAGGATTGAGAGAACATCCGATAGAAGGATAACGGGCATATATGGTGAGAAACGTCTCAGTCTAGGAATTGTAACCCAAGTCCCTGTAAAAATAGAAAACATAACTGTGGCAGTAGACATGGAGGTTATTGATGCAACCAGATATACATTAGTTCTTGGCACCGACTGGCTAAGAAAGGTGAACGCAATCATCGACTATCAAGATTGCAAGCTCATGCTAAAAACCAATACCGAGACTATACCTGCCACCCAAATTCAAAATCCAAATGCCGAAATCCCAAATGCCGAAATCCCAAATCCCAAATCCCAAATTATGATTAGTATTTTTTGCCAAAATCCCAAATCCCAAATCCCAAATACTAGTAATTTGGGATTTGAGCAACACGTATAACTGAGACAGTCAGCGTCCTTTGTAAAAACACCAACGCGATGACATTAGATAGTGAAGATGACAGTGACAGTGGGAGTGAGGAAGAATATGAGAGCGATGAAGAAACAGGTGTTGAAGAAGACGATAAAGACACAAATTTTGTGGGATTATCATATAGGCTGCCCCAGCAAGGAGCTGACGTGGTATAAGATCACGCCTAAAGGGATACGCACCAATTCAGAGTACACCATATGGAAAACCTATGATCACCTTGCGTACTGTTTCGACGCCTTCAAGAAAAAGAAGCACAAGCAGGGGCGACGGAAGGCTGTAGGACCAAATTCACTCTGCTGGTGTGACAAGCACCTTGAAACTGGGGAAGACAATTGCGAAGTGTGTGAGAAGCAGTTGCAAAGGTAGGAGGCTATCTCAATAGTACCACTGGATGAGATTCAGGATATCCGTTGTAACTTGATTCAGGAAAGAACAGAAGTGTTTAAGGAGAATCAACATGAGCCACTAATAAATAAAATCTTCGAAGAATTCCCTCAGTTGGTGGCGAATGACCTCTCACAACTCGGAAGAACCGACGTCTACCAACATACTATAGATGTTGGAGAAGCGAAACCTATCAAGCTGCACCTATACCGAACTTCACCTCGACACCTGAAATTTTTGAAGGAGGAAATAGAACGAATACCGGATAACAAGTTAATCGAGAAATCATTTAGCCCTTGGTCCGCACCCACAGTGATAGTTAACAAGAAGAACGGGAAGTTTAGAATCTGCGTCGACTACAGAAAACTGAATGCAGTTACGAAGACTGATGCCTACCCAGTTTCACGAATAGCTGATATGCTGGACTCTCTGGGACATTCCGCTTTCTTCTCCACCTTGGACCTGGCATCAGAATTCTGGCAGGTAGAGGTAGCACCGAAGGACCGTGAAAAGACTGCTTTTGTTACTCCATTCGGGATGTATGAGTTCCTCGTGATGCCCTTCGGTCTTATAAACGCCCCCGCAACATTCCAGAGGGTGATGGATAGGGTCTTCCATGAGGTCGTCTGGAAGTTCGTACTCGTATATATAGATGATATCATCATCTACTTAAGGACCTGCGAAGAACACGAAGAGCACCTAAGAACTGTGTTTACCTTTTTAAGGAACGCAGGGTTGAAGATAAATTCGGAGAAATGTGACCTTTTCAAAATGAAGTTGGCATTCTTAGGACATATTATAACGGTCGAAGGGATAGCCCTTGACCCGTCAAAAATTGAGAAAGTGCAGTACTACCCTATACCTAAAGACAAAACAGGTGTCCGCACTTTCCTGAGATTGGTATCTTACTATAGGAGATTCGTGAAAGAATTTGCTGCAGTCGCCAAGCCGTTGCATAACCTTATGAAGAAGGACGTCGCATTTGGATGGAAACACAAACACCAATTCGCATTTGACTTACTGAAGGAACGTTTAGTTTCAGCACCCATAATGACTTACCCCGATTTCACGAAACAATTTATACTCGCCACAGATGCATCTGACTGGGGCATCGGAGCAGTGCTCTCCTAGAAAGATGAAGAAAACCACGAACATCCCGTCGCTTACGCCAGTCGAACATTGTCTACCGCAGAGCAAAACTATACTGTCGTCGAAAAAGAATGCCTCGTCGCTATCTGGGCTGTACAGCACTTCAAGCATTATCTACATGACCCCAAATTCGATTTGTACACTGATAACTTAGCCCTCACTTGGTTGAAAAATCGGCCGCAACCGAAAGGAAGAATTGCCTGTTGGATCTTTGCGCTATCCGAGTATGATTACAATATCATCCACAAACAAGGGCATCTTAATGCCAACGCAGACGCTTTATCCCGCATCAAGTACTAAGCAAGAGAAAATACACAGGAACTCGGATACGCAACAAGATTGCGAAACCTTTTGAAAATAGATACGAATAATTACAATCAAATAATTGAATATTTAATTAACCACACTTTCCCTCAAGATTGGACGAGCGAGCAACGACGATAATTACGGCAACAAGCGAATCATTACATCGTACAAGACAATTTATTGTTCAAGCGAAACAAGGACGGCAGCCCATTGCAGGTAATATTGAAGGACGACGTAACAAAATATTATACAACATGCATAATGTGCCGAATGCAGGATATTTCGGCATAAAATTGACAATAGACAGGACAAGGCAGCGATATTTCTGGCCCACGATGGGTACAGATATGAGGAACTATGTAGAGACTTGCAACGTGTGCCAACGCCAAGGCAAGCCTACAAGAACCGAAGAATTATGACCTATCAAAGTAGGGCAGAGTTTGACTGGTTAGGAATAGATATTGTGAGACCTTTGAAACCAACGTCCACGATGAAAAGATATATCATAGTAGCCACAGACTATTTCTCCAAGTGGCTGGAAGTGAGGGCAATAGAAAAAGCGGATGCAATAACAGTCACATAGTTTCTATATGACGAGATTATATGCCGTCACGGATGTTCGCGAGAAATACTGTCCGATAGAGGAACGGTATTCATCAGCCAGGTAGTAGCCAACCTGGTGGATATAATAGAAGCACACCATAGGCTTATGTCCGTGTACCACCCACAAACCAACGGACTAACGGAGCGGTTCAATCAGACGTTGTGCAGAGTCCTGATGAAGTGTGTTGGAGAAACAGCATATGACTGGGACGTGTTAATACCCCCGGCACTTTTTGCATACCGAACCATCAAGAACAGAATGACAAAACATGAACCCTTTTATTTACTTTACAGTCGTGCCTCTACCTTACCCATAGAACTTGACGTCATCACTTAGCCAGCTGCGGAGATTGACAAAAATCAGTACGAGGACCTGATAAATAGAAGGGTTAACGAAATTATAGGGGCATTTGCAGACAATAAAATCAAGGCCACCGGAAACATAAAGGACACCCAAGCAAGACAGAAGAGAGTCCACGATAGGGGAATTAGAGTAATGACATACAAAATCAGCGATATGGTACTGGAATATCGTTCAGATCTACAAAACATACACGGCGACAAGTTTCGAAACAGGTGGACGGGACCTTACTTCATCCATCGTGTCCTGAGCAATGGATCATACATATTATGAACCACAAGTGGGAAAATACACAACGATCGACCTGTACATAGGAGCCGTTTAAAGTCCTACAAACAAAGGGAGGTTTCATCTCACGTGAGATGACAGGAGATAATAACTGTGCATGAGGACACCTGAACTTAAGAGCAAAGCATGAAATTTCCCTCACCACCATTGAAATATTCAACATGAACCACCTACAATTTCCTGAAGGTTTTCTCGAGCGAGTCATCAGATTGCGTAGAGAACTAAACGAAATTTTCAGAGAGGCACAACTCATGATAGATGGCACTGGAGCATATTTGATGGTGGAAGGATGCGAGATAAACCTGGTGGAAGGGTGCAAAATAAACCTGGTAGAACCCTCGAATAACGAAGGAGCACCACAAGAGAATAATGTACTGCCCCCATATACCTTGGATGTGATAGCCGCACTGGCAGAAATGCATGACCTGACAGGAGCTATGCTTGATCATAACGTAGCAGGGCTACTTTCGGTGGCCATGGATCTAGCTGTTCCGAAGGGGCAACGAGTGAATGCTTACAGAAGACTCAGAAATTATATTCATGCCTTCCAGGAAAACCGGACGGCTGCATCAATAAAACAGGAGTTACAAGGGCACTCTCACCAAAATGGGGCGCGAACCTACCAGATAGTGCAGAGGATAAGAATACTCACCCAAGAAGTCAGGATGTTACAACCAAAGAACCTCCAGCTGGTAACTCCCGATTGGATCTGTAAACTTCCAAGATAAGAATTCGAGAGACTGGTGAGAATGTGCAGTGAGTTGAACCTATAGGTGAGGAACGATCTGTGGATTATGGAGATGGGGTCACAGGAGCTCCCCTTTGAAGGAGGAAATGTTTGAGGTAGCACAAATGCCACTGGGAATGCTGTACGAGGATTGCGGAAGGTTACGAAGGTCACAAGGGAGAATAGAAAGATGACAGTGATACCTGGATGAGTGTGCTACCATCGTCATCTTTTACATCTTCGTGTATCATCTTTTTCATTTTTGTGTATCATCTTTTTCATCTTTGTGTATCATCTTTTTCATCTTTGTGTGTCATCCTTTTCATCTTTATGTGCCATCCTCGAGAAAAAGGGGAAAACGTGTTTAGACATGACAACAAAGAAAAAGGAAAACAAAATCAAAAAGGTATAAAATAACCAGTGGATAAAGGATGGAAAAGGATGGATTCTTTTGGCAAGCTTCGGGGGTTTAACACTTTTATTTTTTATCACTTTACTTCTCTATTACGTTTTATTCTTTTATTTTCATATTTTCTTCCTTTTCTTTTACAATTATTACA